TTTTTGGACCCAAGTTACACTGATCGAGTTAATGCAATCTTACCATTTCTGTTAATTACACATAAAAACAGCTTGAAAGAAATAAAGTTACAAAAATGAATAAAGAATGAGAGCAGATCTTGTGACTTTTTAGATTAAGTGAAGCGAATGAGTCGCGGCTCTCATCTCTCGCTCTCTGGGATACCGTGCTTCGTTGTTCTGTCACAGACTTAACAAAACTCTCTTGGCAGCAGTTGTGAACTCATCTTTCCCCCCAATGACTTTTTCCACTGAACTGTTTAGAATTAAAGTTAATCTATGACAGTGTTTTTTTTTCAGCCTGGTACTTGGCTGCGGCTCTGTTTTGGAAACAAAGTCTTGAAAGGGTGAACGGCTGGTACCTCTCGTCTCTGATTCCAGACCAAGGCGGCCCCAGAGTTGTGGATGGTGGTCAGCTCCGGCTCCGGGTTCTTGGGGAAGAGGAGAGGCTGCTGTACTCGCCTCAGCGGGGCCGACGGCTCGCCGCACAGGGTTCCTGTAGGCGCCCCGCCTAGGCAGATAAGGGACAGACAAGAAAAATATGCTTTCAAACTATTTAGAAAATAAGCTAACACTCTAACACTCATGGCCCTTTAATTGTTTGGGTTTTTTTCGCTCCTCTTTTTTGGTCAGAAGATTACACTGAAGCTTAACAGGAAACCCAAATGGCAAAACATGAGTAAGGCTCCAGAGCAGCACAGTCATACCATATGGACACTAATCCAATTAGTGACAAAGCCACCCCAGACCCAAATCTCTCTAGCCCCACCAATCTACCATGCTCATCGCAATACTCATTTTCTCAGATTTCTCATATTCACTGATAAAACATCAGCTTGATTAGAGGCTAAAATAACACAAGACAAGAAAAAAAAATCATTGAGAACTAAACAGGAAACATCACTAAATCCGCTTGGGCGTCTGCAACAGACCCAGAAACGAAGTGGAACGCTTCCAGGCAGACAACCTGAATGCCAAAACTCACAAAACCCTGCAGCGCCTGCACTCTCCTTTAGCAGAAAGAGCTTTAAAAATCCTGTGTTGGCCCACTGTGGGGAAGCAGGCTGTACTAGCTCAAGCCACATAAGGTAACAGCTATAAACCCCGAGGGCCAGGGAGGGGACAGACCGTCTTTGTCATGAGGAGAACAACGGAAAGCAAAGAAGAAGAGGAGTGGCCATTGTTGTTAATAGAGTGAAGTGAATCAGCACTCAACAAGCGCGTCTTCATTACCGGCTCCACATTAAGGAGTCTGATAAATTCTCTGGACAGTCAAGAAATATGAAACGGAAGAGGATTTAAGTAGATTGATGGACCAGAGAGATGCATTATGTTGTCATTGCTATAGGCTTCTACTTAACCTTATAGATCTCCTGGGTCTATGGCATAAATATATTATAACGCTGAGCCTACTGAGCTTTGAGACAGCAACAGCAATCATGCGGCTGATGGTAGTTTCGTTTTCCCCCTCTTATTTCATGTAAGCACTCATGTGGTCAGAAGCTGGGGTTACTTGCACATACCCACAGCTTTGGTATCTTTAAACCTTAAATTAAATTTTACTTGCCATACATTTTCTTATTTTCTCACATAAACATGACCATAATGAGGTCAGTAGTTTTTTTTTTCCCCTCTTCAACTTTTGGCTCTTTATGACTTCAAAGAGAGCCAACATACCTAATATGGTCATCTCAGACACATGGCTCTGGCTGTGGGCCAAGAAGCCTCACCTGCCATTTGTAAGTTCCAACCAATCAGAACAAAGGCAGCTTAAAGGAAACGAGGAAGGAACTAACAGAACTTTCAGACAGTGGATGACCCCAGAGGCTTCAACGAACCCCAATACAAGTTAAATAATGATCATTTCTCTGGTATAACCCCAATAATAATAAGAATTAGAATAATGAATATTGCTGAAAGTTAGAAAAATAGGTCCCCTTTAAAATCCTAGGGAACATCCTGGCTGAACAACAACCTGCTTCTATGTCAGTAAAACAGAATACAAGACAAATCTTTAAAAGAAAACCATCAAAGTATAATTAAAACAAAAATAAGTTACTTTTTTTTTTTAAATAAACAAGTTTAATTTTTTTCCCTTACATTTGCCACTTAGTAAAAAGACACACCATGAAAGTGAGGAATCAGATTCAGGCATTAAAGGACTACCTTGGGAAAACCCCCACCGCCCTCCCACCTCCTAGTTTTAGCCATGAGGACAGCGCTCCATTTATTTTGTTTTCTGAAAACTGTGGCGCCACCATCTCTTGTTTAAAGTAACGCTTACAGCAGCTAATCCATGCTTGTTTTCTGTGCTCTTATTTTGTCAAATGTCTCTAAGGTCGTTTGAGACTGTGCTATCATAGCTAAACTTATAAATTGCTCAAAGGCAAAAAATACTTTACAAAGTGGCTCTTGATGGTTGAGACATGAAAAGGTGTATTTGATCTTAACAAAACAAAACAAAAAAAACAAAAAAAAATATGTACACATGGCTGCACGCCAAAGCAAACAATGAAACCCGTTCATCTGCAGCATGGGTTCAAACACAGGCCACATAATAGATCGCACAATGCTTATAAGGCTTTAGATTGTTATTAACCTTGGTCATTCAAGCAGAACTTTATATCCTCCTCATCCAGTTGCATCCGTTAAAGTGGGACAGCTGTGGTAGGCTCTCCTCAACTTGACCCAGAGTGAAACAATGCAAGCAGGAAAAGGCTTTGCTGTAAGCAGCTGCTGGCTGCAGAGGTCAGAGGCTGATGTAACGATTTTAGGCCAAATTCTTCATCGTCCACACTCACCCAGAAAATCTGATACGCCATGTAAACAGTTTTCCACAAAGTGCCCAGTGTGAAAACATGTGATCTCAGGCTTGTGAGGCCCTGAGCTAAAAAGCAAATCTGCAGAAATGCCACAGAGCTCGAATTTTTTCCCCCTTTATGCAATGTATTAAATCACTGACTAACTGGACCATCTTTAATTACAATCAGTGAAGCCAATGCATAATAAAAGATCCAAACCTTGCCTGGCACTGTCAGGCCACATTAATATTTCACCTACTTCCTCTGGCTGTTTGCGGTGACCTTGAAAACTCACAGTGCCACTCACAGGTCTCGTGGCCCCGGCTGCATTTTTCTGCGTCTTCTTGCACACTCAAAATAAGATGTCCTCTGTGGCTGCAGAGGGCCGCTAATTTCACCCACTGACACATTTTTAACTGACGCATTTCTTTCCATAGAGGACTGATCCTCAGCCCCATTTAACAAACCCTCACTTTGAATTACCCTTACGTAGGACTCTGGGGATTTTTCTCTTTTTCTGTGCTATTACTCTTGTGGGATGCTCTTTCTGACAACCCAAACGGAAAAATTTGGGATCTCTATCTGTTCCTAGCTTAAGTTAGAACAATTACTTCCATGGTGTGTGGGGTTTTTTGGGTTTTTTTGCTTACTTAAAGGCTTCTGGTAGATCTGTCTGCTTTTGCAAGATAGAACTTGCTCTTCGTGTGTGTTTATACAAGCTCCCTGATGTAAAACCACAGTTTCGTGTAAATCAAACCTGTAAACCTTGATTTCAGCTCTGATACAGTCACATGGAAATTCCATCAATCAAGAAATAAATGTTAGAGTGAATTACTAGGTGGATTGTTCCTCCGATGAGCGTGAGGGTCATCAGGTTCTGCAAAGATGCTGGAGGCCATCTTGTTCTTGCGCTGGGGCGTTGTGTTGTCATCTGTGCCAAAGGAGAAGCTGGAGTCCCCACCCGGCGGTCGTAGTACCCTTAGAAGCAACAAAATGACACAATTTTGACGTCAGCTGGAATGACACCCCGTCTACCATGCTCCCATCTCCCCCCCCCCGGCTCCATAACCTCTCGCTTCAAACTGCAACACAAGGCCTTCACGTCACACACCACTGATCAGATGCACAGCGCAAAAATAGGAAAAAAAAAAAAGATAAAATCAATAGTGAAATAAAACATGAGGTAGCCCCAAGCTACATGCAACCTTCTCTCTACTCCACCCTAAATCTTTTATAAACATACCACACAAGAAAGAAAGGAAAAAAAAAAAACCAAAAAAATATGAGATACCAGCAAGGTCCCCCCCACTCTCTAAGCCCCGGCTGTCAGCCTGTCAGACAGACAGTCCCAATCTCTGCCCTGCAGCTGACTCCAGTCGCATATAATCACAGAGTTAGCTGGCTAGCTGCTGCCTCTCTTCAGCGCAGATTCCTTTGCAGTGACATATGAGGGCTTGTGTCTGCTTCTAGGGGGAATAATTACACAATTATCGCATTTATTCATCAAATCTGACGTTTATTTTGGTCACAATCGCACAATGGAAGTGAAAGGTCTGAGGTTTACGCTAAATATAGGTCATGTAATATTGGGACTGTTCTAGAACAGCACAGAAAGCCAGGATCCAGATACACAGATGACAAACAAAGCCTACTTTCCACAGACTTTCTTCCACCATGAACCAAACAAAAGGAATTCAACAGCGAGTAGGGAAACCCTTTTTCTCCTCGCTGTGCTCAAGGGCAGCTGGGGTGGACGACAGACACCGAGGTGCTTGCAGAGCCACTGCTGGACCCCTCCCTCTTTTTTTTTTCCTTTCCACCAGCAAACTCTCCTCTCCTGGAGCCCCCTAAAGTCACCAGCTGACACACCGAGCAGCTGTCCGAGGGCCAGGCAGGCAGATGGGAGTCAAAAAAAAGCAACAACTCTGCTCTTGAAGCACAGCTACAAAGAAAGCAACCAAGACGAGGGGGGAAAAAAACAAACATCTCACACAGCCCAATATGCAACAACGTGAATTTGCACATTTAATTCTTGGCTGTGACAACATATAATGCCTAAACCAGACTTCACCTCCCGGCCAGAGAGGATGAGCTCATGCTTTCCACATACACACACAGATTGCGACGGTGGGGGAAAGCTTTGAGCTGGCTGGCAGCAGACCCCACCCTAGAATGAACCTGCAAATAACATGAGTGAAATGGCAGTCATGTTTGGAAGCCTTAGGCCACTTTAAGGCAGGTGAAGCTGGGTAGGATACTGCTAAGGTCCAGAGCCAAAGATGGCATGTCTGATAAGGCAGGATAGGAGGCCTTTGATTTTAGCCTAATTCAAGCTGCTGCTCTACTGATCTACTTGGTCGTCCAGAAGCAGAAATGACCAGCAGCTCGCTAAAGGGGGCTTTAAGGGGGAAAAGGCAGAAGAGCTAAGGAAAGATTTACAGGCTTAGCTAGCTCAGAGCCTCCACCCAAGCCCCCTGCATCATCCGAAAGCAGCATGCGGACTGACCGACATTTGACATGCTCACTCAGACTCAGCAAGGGCTAACAGTGGCAGTATAAAAATCTCTAGCACGCCCTGAAATCATGCCTCGTTATAAAGGCGGCCATAATTTTAAGGTTTGCACTCTTCCCTGTAAGAAAAAAGAGAAAAAGGAAAAAAGGGAGGAATGCACGAAGCCGACACGCATCATCACTTACAGGAAAAGACTCAGCGCATGCTTGGAGGATGACTCTTAAACTGAGTGTAAAACCGGGCATCAGGCTCGCGACCCCGCTTAATGAGTTTCCCTAAAACTTCCTTGAACCAAAATTCAAGAGATGATGACATAAGCAGACCGCGGTCTAGTCTGGGACCTTTCCTGTAATCAATCAAATGGACTCTATCGTTTCTTTTCTTTTTTTCTTTTTGTTTTGTTAGATAAAATACAACAAAAAAGAACAAGTTAACAAGACGTTAACAACTCCAGGAGCAGCACACTCACAGATCTTTCCTTCCATAGAAGGAAGGAAAGAAAAAAAAGTGGTGACTTGAACTATTAAAAAAAGTTATTTCGCAGTCTAGAGCAGCCAGCGGGGAGCTAACGTTAGGCTTAGGCAGCTTTGTCCACTTCTCCTTAAACAGAAATGTGGAAAAGATCCTGTCGAGCAGTTTGTTTCCGAAACCCAGGCATGCTAACCTCACTAACTTCGTGTAGCTAAAGGGTATGGTGCATCAGACACCCAATAAGATTATCTTAATTAGCTAGATTATGTGACAGTTTAGCTAAATCCAGAAAAATCCCTCGCCAACCACCACCGGGCTAACACAGCCTGTGATATTCTGTAGCAAGCTGTCTTTGAGCAAAAACGAATAAAAGAGGCGTTTGCTAGCTGAGAGGCTTTGCCCGCATCCTACTTCTTTTGTTCCTCCGTGAAAAGGCTTTCGGCTCCTTTTTACCTGGAACTACTTTTAGCACCAGGCTCCACTCCTTGAAAGGTGGTTGTCGTCGTCATCTTTTTTTGGAGTATTTCGATGTCTGGCAGTAAGAAACAGTCAATTAAAAAAGTAATGGTGGGGGGGATAAATCCTCCTCCTTGCCCGCAGGGATGCGACGGGATGTAGACTCCACCCGACACTGAAAAACATAACGAAGAACAGATCCGCTGGTTCTGCGGTGCCAGCCCACCAGACCCAACCCACCAGTATTAGACACGTTGTGATTGGACAGAACGGTACAGAACTCGCCTCTCATTGGACAGAACTTTAGCAGTCGGATATCTTGTTGGTGGCAGGTCTCGGGTTCCTGTGAGGGATCGGACAGAAAAGACCACAACCCCGAGGGCTCTTTCCCCCCCGTTTTCATTTAATAGCGCTGATTGCGGCAATCTGCAAAATTATTTTAAAGAATAAAGTTAGAAAATTGGTATACTTTAAAACTTCTTTCTTAACTTCCAAGCCACAAAGGCTCCTCTCACATTTGCCAAAAACATCTCAAGATTTGAGAACATATCCTCTGGACTGATGGAGGTTTTTGAAAATAAAACTAACACGTTTTTGTTTTTTAAAATAACATCTACCAACAATGGTGGCTGCTTTGCTGCTTTAACCCTTTCACGCATAGTGGTCACCACAGTGAACAGGTATTCAAAGGCTGTTTTCTTGTATTTTTGTCAGTGTTGATGGTATGTTTGCACATAAACCACCTCATTGCGCACTGATGTGTCACTCCATACCAAACTCATAAGTCAAAACCTGTTGTCCACCTAAGTGGACGTGTAACAAACTCTTTGAAAAGTACATGTTTAAAAAATGAAGTTCAAAAAACTTTTTTTTTCATGCCTATAGATGAATAAAAATCCTTATGAAAAAAAATCTGCTCTACCAGAAAATCCTGCAAAACCATCAGTTTGTGCCATGAAACTCGTTTTGTTTTGGACAATGTAAACGCACCAGCAAGTCCTCCTCTGAATAGCTTAAAAACACAAAATGAAGGTTTTGGTGTGGGCTAGTCAAAGTCGATCGCTACTTTATGCAAACATTTGATTGCAGTTCTTGTCGTCACTGGTGGCTCAACCGTTTATTAGGTGTAGGGGTCAATTACTTCTTCACACAGGGCAGTAAAGGTTTGGATAACTTTGTTCTCATAATGAAAGAAATAATTTTTAAAAAATCTGAATGATTTGAAACATTTAAGTGCAACAAACATGCAGAACACACACACACACAATTATATTGTTAAATAATAGAAAAATATGATGAAAGTTTGGAAAAAGACAATAGCTTTATTTCAACAAGCATCTTAATAGACAATACAGATGTTTATTTTGCTGGAACATCTCTTAGGGCTTCCCAAAATTTGAAGTGGCCTAGCAAAAACGATTTCTCAGAACATTCCTCTACACATCCAGTACTATTTTTAAAAAATGTAAAAAATCAAATATGTTTTGTGAATATGACAGAACCCAAATGTCAGCATATCCCGTGATCCCCATACTTGGCATATGGTTCACTAAGTGACAGCCAGTTCCAAAAATTGTACACTTTAAGAACAGATTTGCTGGCCACCGACCAAGATCAGCTGAGCAGATTTTGATCAATAAAGTCAGTTTTACTTAATGCTCACTCTATCACCAGTCCTAACAGTCTGGAAGGGAAGTCCTTAACACTTATCACAATACAGCATGGAAAAACAAAATCTGAACTCAGGGTGACGTGGATGTGGCTTATGTACAAAGACAGAAAAGTAAAAGGGGCGCGAATGAAAATATACAGCAGTTATGTGTAGCAGAGAAACGGGAAACTTCTTCTGCGTGGAATTCTGTTGAGACGAGCTGCGAAGAAGCAGGCGCTGTGTGCCTCAGAGGCCAGGAAAGTTGGTGGTGTCCAGGAAGAAAGTGGTGATGCACATGGCCGATTAAATCCATCCGCCCGTCTGTTGTTGAAACACATCGATCGTATCTTCATCTTCCATTTCCAACTGTTAAGGGGGAAAAAAACAAAAAAAACATATAAGCCCATGAATTTCATAACGTTTGAGTAATTTATGCAAAAAGTGATATGAGGGAAAATATCTGTACTGCAAAGAGGAAAAGGAGGATACTAATTTGTTGACCTAGAGGGTGACAGTATGCCCTGTACAAATGAAAAACTTCCCATTTGCATACACAAAATAGCACCACTGTGACAATAAAATGACGCACTGTATTTGGCTTTGAAGGCTGCACTGTGGACAAGGTTGGATGGCACTGCAATAACATGCAAGTTGTGGTTACTCCAGCCACAAACTGCAGTGAATACAACTGGCATCTGCACAGCGACATATTCAAAAACAACTTAAAATTAGCTTCTTGTGACAACCCGAGGCTCCTCATGGCAGCACTGTGACTTTGAACGAACATCTTTCAGCCTGGAGAACCCCTTAATGCCCAGTTATTAAGAAATACTGTTATCACAAGCACTAATCATTCAAATT